CTCCAGAATCTCAAGCTCGTTCTCCAGAATCTCAAAGACTACTTAATGCGATTTGACCAGGACATGGATTCACTGTTATCACTAGTTGAAAAGTATCCCTGGGTCGAATCCCTCGAAGAGGACGAATATGGCGACTCTCCACCGAGCGTGATATATTGGGCCCAGGAAGCGGGAATATGGGCAAGGGATGTGACTGAACTCATTGAAGAGGGTCTTGAAAAACCGGAAGAGAGAGGTGACGGTAGCACCTAAGGTTCGTTCGCATACCCTCCCATAGCGAGCTCCCCCGCCAACTTCACTGTAGCCCAGGGCATGCGGATATTAGCTGGACTGGGAATATCTGGATACGGATCTATGGTGGGAAGGCCCAGGCACATTGAACGGGAGGCAGGCACGTTTGGGCGGACTTCAGAAACATTGAGCAGTAATCGCCCACGGTGGAGGTGAACCGGGCACGCCACTTGCACTGGGCACAATCAGCGGATCCACAGCGTCTCCACACCGGGACATCGTGTAAGGGCTCTTACTTACGGACATTAATGGAGGTATTAGGACTGGTTACGGCTCTAAAGCAGCTGTGAATACAATTCAATCAATTTCTCAGCATCTCACATACCTAGCGCTCGAAGTGTCCCTGCCTTGATTTACATATTCTCATGTCTAATCAGACTTGCCTCTCAACCTTCGGCCAATCTGCCTGGCAAAACAGATCACTCATCTGTCTTGTTCGTGCACAGCGTTCCGAACGTGTTGAATGTGTCCAGCGGAAGAGCAGAGGAAACCACTGCGTGACATCCATGGGAGTGGTAAAGCCGTCCACAGCATTATCGACTTTTACTCTTATGGGCTTGTTGTGAGAATTTTCCTCACCGCTCTCGGTGCGGTGAAAGAAAACGGAACCACGGTGGCGGTAGCTTCGCAGAGGACGTTTACCAAGAGCGGTGAGGGTTGGTAACTGTTCTTCCAGGTATATAGGTGCTACTTTCTCCGCGTTTTATGCTTCCTTCCTTCTCCCCACTCCTCCTCACGTTTTCGACTTTCCCAATCCACTGGTAATCAACTCACACCTTGCGAATACTTTTCACCCCCATCACAAGCGCAGAACGATGCCTAACGGATACATCCGGCTGTCCAAGACTCAGCTCGGTCATATCCTTGACTTCACGCGCGAAGTTAAAGACGCGGTGTGGTCTCTCTACCACATCCACGATGTCTCAGAAGACGGTATCAAAAACTATGTGGAAATCTGGGAGCAAATCCACAGCGCGATCCACGAGGACGACGAGTTCTACAAGGACGACGACTATAAGACGCCTTACGATGTCCTCAAGATACTCAAACCTACGGCGATGAACCTGCTTATCTATATAAGGATGTTAGCGGCAAAAGCTGACGCAGAATGCTGGACCTGCAATGGACGCCGGCTACGGGCAGAAGCCGCTGTAATTGAGCAGTCTATGAAGGAAATGGAGGAGAAGATCAATGGGGACTTCGGAGAGTTCGTAACCGCCCTATGGCCACCCGCAAAATAAGTGGAAAGAGCACTCGCCTACGTTGGTTCAGAAGCTGATATGACACTTCTCGCATGGCCTCGTCTAAAAAAAAGTTCCGGG